AATTTGAACATTCTATAGGCATTTATAGTTATTTTTTTACCTCCTTGCAGCAAACAGCAAACAGCCTGATCAGCACAAGGGGGGGGGGGAATCTGCCTCTGCCTTCCAGCAATTTGCCTCCTTGCAGCAAACAGCCCATTTCACTTTCAGTTTTAGCAGGGGTCTCCTGATGATCAGCTGTTTCAGACTGCAGGGATTGCCACAGCCCTGTGATGGCGAACCGATGGCACGAGTGCCGGAAGTGGCACACAGGCATCTCTCGGGGCATGTCAGCCATCGGTCATTGCTCTTCCGGGTTTTGGCGCACATGTTCTGGCCAGCTGGTCTTTGTGCATGCATGAGAAGACCAGGTGACTGGCACGCATGTGCACGCCGGAAACCAGAAGTTTAGCTTCCCTGCGCGCATATGCGCATCAGGAAACTGATCTTCCGGTTTCTGGCGTTCCCACGCATGCACACCGGGGAACTGCTCTTCTGGTCTCCAGTGCTTCCACACGTACGCACCCGTGCTCCCGTTTCGGCACTCGATGCCAAAAAGGTTCTCCAACATTGCCATAGCCTATTGCCGCCTCAAGCCCCATTTCCCCCATTTGTTGCAAGGAGGCAAATTGCTGGGAGACAGAGGCCAAAGGGTGGGGGACGATGGGTGGTGGGCAAGGCTACATTCAGTGTATCAGACATACCCAAATTTTCATCCTCTTTGGGGGGGGGGAGTGCATCTTATACTCCAAAAACTACGGGAACCTTCCCAGCTGATCATTTCTTGACGTGTCCGAATTCTGACCTCCCTTTCCTTCTTGTTGTCGTCCTTCCTCTAGTGCCGGGACCAAACCCATCGGCTGAGAACGACATGAGTGTCACAATGATAATGGTGGGCTGGCTGGTCATTGCGCTGGTCTTGTTCTTGATGAGACCCATCAGCTTACGGAGATCGATCACTTCCGATAAGCCGTCGAGCCCACATAATGTGAGTCTTGTTTCCTGGTGCCTTTGTTTCCTTTGGTTGGGTAATAACAGAACGGGAAGGAAATGTACAAATACAAGGAAAAAATAATCCACTCATCCCAAGGTAGCTCGTACGACACTGGTTCAGTATAGGTAGTCCTCAATTTACAACAGTTTCTATAGTGACCGTTCAGAGTTACAACAGCACTGAAAAAAGGAACTTACAGCTGTTTTTCACCCTTAACGACCTTTGCAGCCTCCCCATGGCCACGTGATCCAAATTCAGAGGCTCAGCAACGGGTTCATACTTACGACCGTTGCAGCGTCCCGGAGTCACATGGTCCCCTTTTGCAACTTTCTGGCAAGCCCGGGGAAGCCAAATTCACTTAACAACCAGGCTAGTAACTTATCAGCTGCAGTGATTCACTTAACAACAGTGGCAGGAAACGTCGTAAAATGGGGCAAAACTCTCTTGAGCAAATGTGTCATTTGTCTCGAACTTTTGGGCTCAATTGTGGCCGTAAGTCAAGGACTACCTGCAAGACTTATTTTCCAGGATGTCGTAATACTGCATTGCTGTTTAGTGAAATCATTCAAGTTAGATTATCTTGAAGAATTTTTGTGGGCTGATGAGATTTTCAAGAAAAGAGAGAAGGGGGGTTTGAATAATCCTGTCACCTTATCGGTGATAACCTGGTTAACGTAACGGATTAGGCTAGGATTATTCTAAGTAGCATTTCGTTCATTTTCTTGAAAGCTCCTTGCTAGCTACTTGGATTTTCCAGAGAGGTTTCCCCCCACCCCCAATCTAAATAGCTCTTCATTTTCCCTTCCTCCTTTACCTTTTAATGCTTCCTTGTTCTCTTGTATTCTTTGCTGCTTTTTCCCTGTCTGCACGCACCACACAATCGTGTCTCCTTTCCTTTTGGCCGCAATCATTCTACACACACCGCACAACCGCCTTTGCGTCAATTTTTTAGCAAGCATCCTCTTTCATTACTTCCCATCAGTGTTAGTCCACGTACTTCTTTGGCACGAATAAGATGCTTTTCCTTTTGTTCCAGGTAGCTTCCACTTCCTCTTTTGTTGACTTTCTAGTCCAGAGGTCTCCAACCTTGGCAACTTTAAGACTTGTGGACTTCAACTCCCAGAATTCTTCAGGTCGCATGGTTGGCTGAGGAATTCTGTGGGTTGATGTTTGCAGATCTTAAAAGTTTGCCAAGGTTAGACACCCCTGTTCTAGTCACTGGGAAATAATTCTATTTTTTTTCATACAGTATTTTTTTTCTCTATTTTCACTTGTTTCTTCTTTCCTGCTCTTTCTTGTGCATTTATTCCAGAGATCATCCATTGCTTGTTTTACGTTCACAATTTCTCATCATCACCTATCTCCTTGTCTTTCCGTCGTCTTCTGCTTTTAGATTTATATGCCTCCTTTTGCCACCCATATGTATGAATAGACGTATTCTTAAACCGTGCATTCAAGACCCTGAGTTCTAATCCCGCCTTAGCCATGAAAGTCTGCTGGGTTGACTCAGCTGTGGTTGTAAATTGAAGACTACCTGTGATTTCTTTTATTCCCCGAAATAAAAATTTGTAAAGAGGTATGAGGCTCTTTTAAGTGGGCAGCTTCTCTTGTGCAATATTCAGAAATCTCTAAATCAATATATTCTCAACACACAGGGACAAGAACCACCAGCTCCACCAGTGGACTGAAGTTTCCCGGAAAAACTCAACAAGTTTAATCTTCAGCGACCAAAAAAAAGAGCATTCCTTATCATTGTATAGTAGGGACTTATTTTGTACATAGAATATCCATTTTCTTTTTCTATTTCTTAAGCGACATTTAAATGGATTAACTTAACATGGTGGGAAGTAACAGCATTTCATTGATGGGTGTTGAACTTATGTCCACTACAATATTTAAAGAAAAAAAAAGTTAAACCTCTCTATTGATAATCAGTTAATCTCTTATTCAGACTAGTGGGTTTTCTCTTCCTATCTATTTAGAGATTAAAAATTGCAGTAAATTCCTCTGTGATCTTCACCCATTTTGTGGGGGAAATCCGCAAAAGTTCCTTCCAGTGTGCCCATTTTCAAAAAGTTCATGTGCTACAGCCTTCTCCAATTAGTGCCTTTTGCATATGTTGAATATTATGTCGGATTCCTAGCTGGCGGAGTCAACAATCCAGATGATTTCACATTAAGAAAGCTGATGCAAACTAGTTATAGTTTTATCAATGAAACAGTTTATTTAGGGGAGGGGAGGGAGGAGAGAGGAAGGAAGGAAGGAAGGAAGGAAGGAAGGAAGGAAGGAAGGAAGGAAAATAAGTTAACAAATAAAGCCTGAATAATTAAAATTTACATTGAAAACTAGTCCCACTCTTATACAACGATTTCCCTTCACTGCAATTGCTTAAAAGNAGTTCAGACACATCACAAATATGAACAATGTTGTACAGACATACGAACGGTAATGATGTTTTGTGGACACATACATGGATCCCTATTTCTGCATAAGATGTTTAGCATACTTAAGAGCTGGGAGGAAAAAATACCCTGCTATTCAAATACTGTTTCCTGCTATAACTGACTGACTTTCTTTTTTTTTCCCCCATGGAGCATGCCACAAACTAATACCTTTGCTCGGTAAAGCTGAAAGCCTCATTCATACTTTTGACAAATAGCCTTTTCATTAAAAGAGCTGTTATGCAGGATATGCCTGCTTTGGAATATGCAAACAGCTATGAGGTCTGCGCTTGACATTTTGCATTGAGAAAGAAACTTAATGAATGCTTAAAATTTTGGCACCCCTTTTTTTATATGTATATTTCATCTCTGGTATTCAATTTTTTTTTGTTTTTGCTGCATTACTTATCCAAATGTCCTGTTGGTTTCTAAGGAGGCAGTTTTCAGCAGCCCATTTCTGTGGCTAATAACTGACAAAGCAGTCTTAGCATGTGCTTTTGTATTACTTTCTATATTTTGTTTAATAATGTAGAAGTATCAGCACATTCAAGTAGGGGCTGACATTTGTGGGGTGTGGAAGAGAACATTGCTTTGCCCAGTCTCTTTTCAAAGGACACTGATAAATCCTCACTTCAGTTATAAATTAGTATTTCTTTTAGGGCTACATATGGTAATCTCTTCTCTTAATTTTTTAATACCATCAATCTAAATAAATTAAGGGGGTTTTTTTGGAGGGGGGGAAGGTAGCATAGTTGCAATTTTAATCATTTTAATAGATTAGTTGATCAGGAGTCAGCAATCTGTGGCTTTTGAGCCGCATGTGGCTCTTTCATCCTGCTGCGGCTCCTTGTTGCTCAAAATTTGCATTGCAATCGCCAATGTGTGATACCTGCTGCCATATGATTTATTGGGCCTATTTGAACCCCCAGTAGGCCAACCCTGGATAAATCCAAGAAAAGAAAAGTTTCAGAAAGAAAACAGAACCTTTAATTCAACTACATATGTTAGTTTTGTGGCTCCCGGTGTTTTCTGTGGGAAATGGGTCCAAATGGCTCTTTGAGTGTTTAAGCTTGCTGACGCCTGAGCTAAGGGGAAGTTATTATGAAGATTTAAGACCAAGTTGCCTTGTTTTTAAGATGTTTATGATACTTATAGTAAGATCAATAATAAAAATACAATAATTATAACTTTACATAATTTCATTTGGACATCACATCCTATTAAGCATCTCATCCACAGGACAAAAATACAATTTGTGGCTGCCGATTTGAAATGACGTGACTGGTTGGCCATGATGCTGGACTTAAGACAAAGTCATCTTGCTTGTACATCGATATAAGACGTCCCATTGACTAGCTAGCTCAGTCTTCTCCAAGCCAACCTGATCCCTTCCAAATGCATTGGGGATCGCAACTGTAATTTACACCCATAGTTGGGGAAGATGGAGCTAGCAGGAGGAAGGCATGGAAGGAAGAGAAAACAGGGCCCTACAGATGGGATTGTAGGTTCCTCCAGATTGACAGATTATTCAGTTGAATGTCAACCAAGGTGAAGTGGGAAAGCAGCCGGCTGCTTGTGGTTCACACCCACATAGTGATTAATCTCAGTCTTGAGTGTGGATTGTGACTTAAGATTTGTGTGATATTAATCCTGGGAGTAAAGCTAAAAGAATTATCAAGAGACAGGTTGGGGGACGTAATCTGCGCCTTTCGGCATGAAGAATCAAGTCAGAGCTACTTCAGGGAAAAGATTCCAGGAATAAATAAATCAAGAGTTGGGGGGGGGGGGACCCGTAGGATAGCGTGTCAGATATTGTATTTGTATTGTATTGATTGTGCTGAGCTGTGGTGGCGCAGTGGTTAAAGTGCAGAACTGCAGGCTTCTTCTGCTGATTGACGGCTGCCTGCAGTTTGGCAGATTGCATCTCACCAGATTCAAGGTTGACTCAGCCTTCCGAGGTCGGTAAAATGAGGACCCAGATTGTTGGGGGCAAGAGGCTGACTCTGTAAACCGCTTAGAGAGGGCTGGAAAGCACTGTGAAGCGGTACATACCATGTTTCCCCAAAAATAAGACAGGGTCTTATTTTCTTTTGACCCCTGAAATAAGCGTTTCGCCTTATTTTTGGGGAGATCTTATTATTTTTGAGGTGCAGGAGGTGGCTGGCATGGTCCCCTCATGGCTGCTGCTGTGTTGCAATATTTTCAGGGAGGGCTTGTTTTAGCGCATGGGCTCAAAAGCCCGATTGGGCTTATTATCCGAGGAGGTCTTATTTTCAGGGAAACAGGAGAAGTCTAAGTGCTGTTACTATTATCATGTCAGATATTATATTTAAGTATTTATGTTACACTCCAGTCCTGTCCCTCAGGAATATCCACAGTTAAAGAGTATACTAGGAAGAATTTTTTGATGTGCAAAGGACCTATAGAATTTTTTGGGTAGTTGAACAAAAAAAGATTTATGGGGAGCTGGCAAGATTCATTTCTGCTCTCAGGATTATCTCAGATTGAAGACAAAAACATGTTGGGATGAACTTCTTTCAGTGGTTCTTTCAATAAGAGAATAAATAATAGCAGAGAAAGACGGGTCAGGAGAAGTCATGAATGAAGGACAGACGGAAGTCTCAAAATGGTTGCGTCAGTTCCCTTTCCATTCTTTAGAGTTGTGTCTCTTGGCAAGTTTGTGATGGGTGGACTTCCAACGCCCAAAATTTCCCAACCAGGAAGCTGTCTAGAGCCAGGCTGTTATTAAGGCCAGCTGGGATGTTGGACGTAATGTCTGTCCTGACATTAAACACATTGCTAAGGTTACACATTGACTTTTGCAACTTCCTTGTTTCTTAGCATGAAAAATTAAATCTATCTCAGCAGTTTTTATAACTTCTGGTGAAATCTTTACCACGCTTTTTCTGAAGTAAATTCCTTTTTGTTTAGAATAGAATAGAATTTAGAATAGAATAGAATTTAGAATAGAATATCAGAATAAAGAATAGAATAGAATAGAATTTAGAATAGAATAGAATTTAGAATAGAATAGAATTTAGAATAGAATATCAGAATAAAGAATAGAATAGAATAGAATTTAGAAGAGAATATCAGACTATAGAATAGAATAGAATAGAAAAGAAAAGAATTTTTCCCCAAGTGGGATTGGACACACAAGAATTTGTTTTTAGTGCCTATGCTCTCAGTGTACCTAAGGAGAATAAAATACATTCATCAAGAATAAAATGATGAAACTCATACTAGGAAACAATCAAACAATATGAATTGTAAAAATACAAGGAACATGCTTATAGCCATAAGTGGGAGGAGATAGGTACTAGGAAGGATGAGGAAAATAATAGTACTACAGTCTTAGTAAATAGTTTGACAGGGTTGTGGGGATTAGTTGTTTAGCAGAGTGATGGCATTCAGGAAAAAACTGTCCTTGTGTCTGGTTGTTCTGGTGTGCAGTGTCCTATAGTGTCATTTTGAGGATAGGAGTTGAAACAATTTGTGCCCAGGATGCGAAGGGTCTGTAGATATTTTCACAGCCCCCTTTTTGACTCGTGCAGTGTACAGGTCCTCAGTGGATTCTATTGGAGCTGATTAAGTGCATATATGAAACATCATTTGAGGAAATATTTCCTTTCTCTCGGGATTTATTTGTTCTCAGTTATGCTGGTAGGACCCTCAGCTTTCTACCCTAGGGCAGGGTCTCCAAACCTTGGCCACTTGAAGACTGGTGGACTTCAACTCCCAGAATCCCTCAGCCAGCAGGACTTCATGGTCATGCTTGGCAGGCACAGAATCCTGATGATTAGGCGGGGGGAGGGCATGAATTATTTTAGGACGAGGAGTTACGTTATCCAACTGCTGATGTTCAACTCCTGTCCACCTGTTTAGCACCGCAAGAAGTCTAGACAAAATCCTAGCACTGTGTCAGTACTCTGTCGGATTCACAATTCCACCCTACCCCAAACTACCCTCCTTTTCTGAGTATAAGATGCTCCGGAGTATAAGACGCACCCACCTTTTGGGCAGGAAAACAAGGGGGATGGAAATCTGCTTCCCAGCAATTTGCCTCCTTGCAGCAAACAGCAAACAGTACAGACGATATACACTGTTTGTGGTGTTACATTTCAGACTATAC